CCATGGGCGACGCACTGGACCTCGGCGTTGACTGGACGCAGGTGCGGCTTCGGTACCTGGGCGAGTGACGGGCGGGCAGGGGGCGCCAGGCGGCGAAGGGCCACGCTGCTCGCCGCGCACCCCAGACGGACCTGGTGCAGTGGGTGGTCGTCCCATAAGCTGCGGGCGCGCCCGCCCCTGCTCCCCCTCATTTCACTCTGGCCGCTCCTCCTTCCTTTCGGCGCGCGGCTTGAGCCCATGCTATCACATTGCCTGTCGCCGGGGCTGTCGGCTGCCACCTCTTGGCTCAACCTGTGGCGGCACGTGCTCAAGCTATCACATTGCCAGTCGCCGGGGCCGTCGGCCACCACCTCATTCTCCTTTGCCCCCCCCATGGCAACAACATTGCGGCGGCAGGTGGGCGCGCTGCTGGAGCGCCTTCCGGCGCCGACGCGGCGCTCTGTCGCTTCCAAGGGCTTGGGTGCGGCAGGCACGTTTCTGGAGGAGGTGGCGATGCGTTCATCCGTACGATACACACAAAACTTGCGACCTTCCGTCGCTACCCTGGATCGGATGGCGGCCGGCAGAGAGTTGCCCACAGCGTTCGTCCCAGGTGCCGTAGCGGCGTGGAAGAGAGGACCCCCCTCCCGCCTTGCTTTTCCCCCCCTCTCTCTCCCCTTCCCCGGCGCCCCTTCCCCCTGTCTCCTGTTCTCCCGCTTGCGGCTTTCTGCCGCCCCCCCCCCCTGGCACGCGCACCTCCTGCCTTTGGATACAGGTGTCCGTGTCAGTTCACTGTCCACTCGGCCAGCACTGGCGCGGGTGGACCTGTGGCCCCAGGCCTTACTGTATTTGTTTTCACCTGCTAGGCACAGCCTAGCGCGCGGCTGTGGGCTCCGGCGGTTTCGCCTGTCCGTAGGCCGCGTCCCTCTCCCTGGACTCTTAAAAAAGCTGCACGGTCTTCCGCCGTCATCCTGGATAGAAGTGGCTCTGAGGGATGCGTCTCGGGTATATGACGGTCTCGTCCCTCGGGTGCTATCCGACTCGGTTTGGGAAGCGCTGAGACACTTTGGATGTGCACACGCCACGTGGTCGACCGTGCATCGTGCACTACGACGCCCTTCCACTCGTTGGATCTGGGCTGACGCATCTCAGTTGTGGAAGGTCCTCCTGTCATCATGCTCCACACCCTGGATGCGCGTTCTTGCGTCGCGACGCGGATTCGCCGTCAGTTTTGTCCGCTGGACTTATTTCCCCAGTCAGTCTGTGTTACCCGTCAGACTCCCTGGATCGTTGTCCTCGGGAACTCTTAAATGCTGAACGGCCTTCCGCCGTGACCCTGGATCGGTGTAGCTCTGAGGGATGCGTCTTGGGTTTTCGATTGTCTCGTCCCTCGGGTGCTATCCGACCCGTTTGGTTAGCACTGTTTCCCTTTGGCTGTGCTCTCGCCGCGTTCATTGCTACCCAAATGAGTCTGGTAGCAGCCGAGGAGGGACCATCGTATGACAAAGACACGCCCCTCGAAACCGTTTCGATATACAAGCAGCACGGCCTTCCGCCGTCACCCTGGATCCATGTGGCTCTGAGGGAGGCGTCTTGGGTACATGGCGCGTTCGTCCCTTGGTGCTAGACGACTCGGTTTGGGTAGCGCTGGGACACCTTAGTTGTGCATACTCCTCGGGGTCTGCCGTGCATCGTGCACTTCGGCGCCCTTCCACTCGTCGGTTCTGGGCTGGCGCATCTCATTTGTGGAAGGTACTCTTGTCATCATGCTCCACACCCTGGATGCGCTTTCTTGCGTCGCGACTCGGTTCGCCGTCAGCTTTTTCCGCTGGACTTTTGTCCCCAGTCAGTCTGTGGTACCCGTCAGGCTTCTGGATCGGTGTCCTCGGGAACTCTCAAGGCTGGACGGCCTTCCGCCGTGACCCTGGATCAGTGGCTTTGAGGGACGTGCCTGGGTATACGCGGTCTCGGCCCGCGTGTGCTCTCCGACTCGTTCTGGACAGCACTGAGACACTGTGATGTGCACACGCCACGTTTCGACCGTGTAGCGTGCACTCAGGCGCCCTTCCATTCGCTGGGTCTGGGCTGAAGCATCTCGGTGTGGAAGTTTCTTGGCAACGTGCTCCACACTTTGGATGCCGTTCTGGCGTCGCGGCTCGTTGCCGCCGTCGGGATCCCCGCTGGACTTACGTCTCCAGGCGGTCTGTGCTACCCGTCAGGCTTGGATCGTCGTCCTCGGGAACGTTCCTCTCGTTCGCACCTGGACTTTGGGAACGCCTCTCGCGCCATTTTGGCTGCGCTTGGTCTCCTCGGTGCCTACCTCAGGCCTGTTGGACGCACCGCTGCATGCCCGTTCTGGGGCTGTCTCTGGCTCCTGGATTGCATCGGCTCCGCCGCCCTGGACGCTGTCGTAAGTATCCCCACCAGCCCGTCCAGAAACGACGCCCAGGCGAGTAGAGGGTCGTCCTGAGGGGCTTTTCGGCGTCTTGGGTGCCTCGGGGGGGCCTCTTTGGGCCGTTTGGGATCCTCTTGGGGGCCTCCTGGGGGCCTCTTGGGGCCATCTTGGGGCCATCTTGGGGCCTCTTGGTGCCTCCTGGGCGCTTCTTGGGGCCATCTTAGAGGGGAGCTTCAATTAGTGCTGCCCCCTCTGGGGGCCAAAATGGGGCCAAAACCTTAGTAAAATCAATGATTTGGGCTTCCTCGGCGAGGCCGTTTTGGACGCTCTGACCGCTCCCCGCCCCCCCTGTCCAGGTCAGTGGGGAGGGGGTAGGGGGAGGGGTAAACCCCTCCCCGAAGGGGAAGAAGGAGGGGTGGAAGAGGAAACGCTCTAAACCACCGACGCCCAGAGGGCTGGTGGGATTCATCGCGACTTTCCTGGGAGCGGGGAGAGTGACGCGCCTGCAGCGGCAGGATGACGGACTCTGGACCATTCGGGCAGGCCAAACACTCGCCGAGCCAACGAGATAGGCAGAATCGAGGGGGACGGAAGGGCGAAAGAGGAATAGGGCAGGTAGGGAAATCTGGAGCAAGATTGAATGGCTACAGTAAGTGAGCTCGTGCGTTGCTAAGTTTGGGGTGCAGCTGTATGACCGACTCGGGGCCATGTAAACAGGACAGACGTAATTCGGCACACATGGCAGCATCACTGCACCTGGTGTCCCCCCTAGCAGCCCACTGGAAACGCCCGACGTAACGAGCCTGCCCTTGGCGTCCACAGGCGGTCTGCGGGCCTGGCCTACTCCGCCGAGAGGAGTTCGACCAGCGGCTGCCTGGGACCCCTCATAAAGCTATGACCGGGTCCTCCAGGAGCGTCTCGAGGAATCCCCGAAGCCCTCGACAGGGCACTGAAGTCATTGCTACCAATTCCACCAGGCGGTGTTAGATCAGGAGATACCTGGGACCTCGTTACGTCACTTGGGGGTTGGGGATTGCTACGATCCACAGACAAGAGGGACCTGCTCCTGCTCCAAAGCAGGGCGGCTCACCCCCCCGTGGCGGCGGGGGGATCCACTCCACGGCAGGACGAATCAGCACCCTAAAAGCGAGGGAGGAGGACGACCCGCACCCGCCCAGCGCCGGGATCGGGCGCCGAGAGGAGGAGGGGGAAGGAGAAGAGGAGGAGCAGCAGCAGGGGGGGAGGAGCAGAGGCAGGAGGAGGAGGGGCGAGGTGGGGGAAGGAGGAGGAGCAGAGGCAGGAGGAGGAGGAGGGGGGAGGAGCAGAGGCAGGAGGAGGGGGGGAGGGGAACGGGGCGAGGTGGAGGGGGAGGGGGGAGGAGCAGAGGCAGGAGGAGGAGGGGGGGGGAGGGGAACGGGGCGAGGTGGACGGCCGCCGCGCCGGGCGAGCGGCGCAGAAGGGCGGCCTCGAGCCGGCAGAGCCGTCGACCCCCGCTTGTGCGCGCGCGCGCCGCGGGGGCGTTCCGAGCTCCGCCCCGGTCGCGGGTCTTCCCCGCGCGCGCACCTTGCCTCCTCTTCCGCGCGAGGGGGCGGCACCAGGGAGTCGAAGGGGTGAGAGAGGGTAGAGGGAGAAAGAGAAACAGAGAGAGAGAGAGAGCGACGGGGGAGAAGGGAAAGGAAGGAGGCGGGAGGGAGGGTCTTGAACATCCAACGTGATGGGGAAACAAAGAAACTAACAAAATTCGCGAGCCTGCAGCCTGGACCGCGGGT